CAGTTAAATAATACTGCATTCGGATGAAATTTGTAGAGGAATAAGTAGCCAGCCTTCTATTTTTGATATTCCAGTGGTTGTAAAGGTGCCCATACTTGTCCCCTATATCGTCCAGCCTCATTCACCTTATTATCCCCAGAGATTCTGATTCATTAAGTCTGGAGGACAAGAAGCTCTATTTTTAAAAAGCTCTCCAAGTGTTTTTGATGAGCAGTAATGATGGTGTAAAAACTATTACTTTATCTCAAGACCAGTTTTTCCTTTTTTTGATTTTGCCTTCTGGTGGGAGGCTAATTATAGTAGAGGCAAAGTCAGGGAGATGAGAATGACCAGATGGTTCCCACTACTTTTAAGTAAAAACAACCGCAAAGGTGTGTGTGATGCTATGTAGGTTACATAGCAGTTTCATACTGCATTTGGATCTCTGAGCCTTTAAATAATGGTGATTATTAGTACCCTATTTTACCTAAGACTGAGGTGCCAAGGAGTTAAATGACTTGTTCATGGTCCCTCAGCCACTACATAGTGGAAGCAGAACTTGCATCCAGTATCTTTTAACTCGAAAACATTCCTGCTCACAGTGGTCAGAGGCAGCGTGGATACAAAGTGGTGTTTATGAAGGGGGATGATGGTAGTTCCATGACTTTTAAAAAGCAATTTCATTCTAAAATTCTTCCTAGATCTTCTACATCTTTTACAGACTTTTTTTTTTTTTTTTAAGTCAGCTACAGTGACTTGCTATCAGATCTCTCTGCTTATTTATGTTACTACCCAAGCCCACCATGACTCCCATGCTGGACAGGGCTAGGACTTCCGGTTTCTAGTGTCCACACCCCCAAGTCATACCTTTGTATCACCTGTTCCTTACTGGCTTCAAGTGTGTTGTCTGAATTCCCAGTTCAGTTTAAAACAGATTTCCCACTTGGTATATAGTGGTTCCCACCGTGCCATTCATACTTGCTTTGTTATTTTGCATTTACTTCCTCTCAGACATGAAATGTAGAGATTGGAATAATTTTCTTGGCTCTCTCTCTCCTAGTTCATTCTAAGCATAGATGGGAAAAGTCAGTAATGTTTCCCTACAGACTAAAGTTTATCCGTTTTAGCTTGGAAAATAGTAAAAGCCACCTGAAGGGTGTTTATAGGGTAGGTGTTGCCATCATCTCTCCCTCTGTCCTTGTAGAATTTAAGATCTGAAAGTGGGGGTGGTGGTGCCTGGGTGGCTCAGTTGGTTAGGCATCTGACTCTTGGTTGCGGCTCAGGTCATGGTCTCAGGGTTGTGAGATTGAGCCTGGTGTCGGGCTCTGCCCTGGGCATGGAGCCTGCTAGGAGTTCCCTCTCTCTCTCTCTCTCTCTCTCTCTCTGCTGCACACCTCCCCCCCGACTCGTGCACATTCTCGCGCGTGCTCTCTCTCTCAAGAAATTTAAAAAAATAAAAGGGACTGGCAAGATCTTCCATTCCAACACACTCTGGTCAGGAAAAGGCTTTATAAAACCCAAGACAGTTCATGTACCCTGTGTTTAAGCATGCAGGAGCTCTTGTTTTTCTTCCTTTTCTTGAAGAGAGAGAGTTCATAATTATTCTCGGGGTTCTTTTCATGGGGGAGGGGCACACTGCGCTGAGATCTGTCGTCTTGAAATTTGCACCTTTTGGTTCTGGATCTCCCTTAAGGAACAGCAGTGGAGGACAAACCCGTTCCTCTTCGAATGTGTTAACTCTAGATACTTGAAGAGCACCAGCTGCCCCATTTAATTTAGGGTTTTTTCCCTTTTCTTTCCTCAGAGGCTTACTATCACTAGCTCTTTCGACCATTCCTCTTTGTGACTTGAGTTCTAGACTTTCCCGGTCATCTTGTTCATCCATCTTCCATTAGGGGAAGCCTTTAATAGACAGTGTCCTTTAACAGATGGCTCCCAGAATGAAGTGCCAGTCGATATTGTACATTGGACTTTTTTTAAAAAGTCTTAAGTCAAAACGCTTTTCGTCCCTGACAAATTTCATCTTACTACTTTAGCCTAAATGAAAAATGTTAATACTTGTTTTGTGGTACAATATCCTACCTGTTCATTATAGTACAGAATCATATGCAAACTTCATAAGCGTAAGTTGGTTTAAAAAAAAAATATATTGAACAGAACATAGAGCCAAAGGCAGTCCTGTGGTAGAATGCTGGGAATCTTCCCTGGCATCCCTTGGGTACCATCATGTAGCCCACCGTGAAGCCCTCATCCTTAAAGTTTAAAATACTTGTCAATTCAATGGGAGAAATGTGATATCTCATTATTTTTAATTTGCATTCTCCTGATAACTAGTCAGGTGGAGTGTCTCTTTATATACCTATTGGCCTTTTGGGTTTTCTTTTCTGTCAGTTGCCCTTTGCCCATTTTACAGAAGTGCTTTGTTTGACTTTTCCTATTGACTTGTAGCATTTTTCTTAAATATTCTAGACATTAGTTCTTTCTCATCTGCTCCAGGTGTTTTCCAGTCTCTGCCTGTCTTTTTATTTATTTATTTGTTTTAATAGTGCCTTTGCTATAGAAAAGTTGTTTTAATGTAGTCAATTTTACCAGCCTTGTGGTTTTTGAGGTTTGGGGGATAGTTTTGGTTATTGTCTTGTTTAAGAAATTCTTTAACCTGGGGCGCCTGGGTGGCTCAGTCGTTAAGCGTCTGCCTTCGGCTCAGGTCATGATCCCAGGGTCCTGGGATCGAGTCCCACATCGGGCTCCCTGCTCTGCGGGAAGCCTGCTTCTCCCTCTCCCACTCCCCCTGCTTGTGTTCCTGCTCTCGTTATCTCTCTCTCTCTGTCAAATAAATAAAATCTTAAAAAAAAAAAAAAAAGAAATTCTTTAACCTGAATCATAATATGTACTCCTGTGTTTTCTTCAGAAAGTTGTTTTTTTTAATTTAAATTCAGTTACTTAACATCTAGTGTATTATTAGTTTCTGAGGTAGAGTTCAGTGATTCATTGGTTTCTTCAGAAAGTTTTAAAGCCTCACTTTTTCCGTTTGGGCTTTAAACCATTTTGAGTTTATTTTTGTGTATTATGTGAGATACCGTCTTCTGCGTGGGTAACAAACTGAGCCTTTGGCATTGATTATAGTCCATTCTTTTCCCACTCGTTTATGTCATTGAGTCCCCAAACACAGAGGACTCTTTCTAGCCTCTGTTCTTTGCTCTTGAGTCAGCGTTGGGGTCAGGGTTTGTCTGTCTGTCTCTGCACTGCTACCATATTGGTTTTATTATTACAGCTTTGTAATAGTGTTCATAGGAGGTGGGGCAGGTCATCCCTCTCATACTTAACTCAGAGTTGTCTTGGGATATTTTTTGCCCCCCACCCCTTTTTTTATTATGTTCCTGTTCCTGTCATTAATGCCGCTAATTTTCAGATTTGCTCTGTGAAGCTACCATTGAGAATTTACCTCACTGCCTACATGCAGGCCTTCTGTGAAATCCTAATTCTCCTTTCCTTCAGTGTGCCATGCAGTCCTCTACTACTGTTTCTATGGTAACCTGATCCAGATGTTGGTTAAGTCAAGCTGCATCCCTATATCTGCCTCCAAATCTCCACGTGCCCCATTCTGAACTCTCAGGACTTACCTTACTGGAGTAGCAGTCTGGTCCCACCATCTCTAGTAGTGATTTCTAGTTTCCTCTCAGGGCCATGGGTCTCACCCAGGTGCACTCAGAGTCATTAGAGAGTTGGCCTTGCTTCTGTGCCATGGGTCATGTTTAGAGGCTACAGGAAAGCCCTGGAAAAGACAAGAGGAAGTTGAAACCAAATTTGGGCTCCTTTGCTTGCATTGGTCAATTTGGGTTCACAGTTTGTGGTGCTCATGGTGGAGGATGGCTGCTGATGTTTCCCTCAAGGGTTGGAGAGGAAATAAGAGCTCAGCAGATTCCTTCCCTGTGCTTCTAAGGTACAGAGGCCAAAAGCACCAGGAACCAGTTGTCAGGGGCAGCATAAGCAGTAGTCCAGGCCTGATCACAGAGGCCTGCTAGGAAGGGCTCCGAGGGTGACCTTGGCCAAGCCCAGGGGAGCCTCCAGAGAGTGCTCTAGGGCCTGATGTCTGGGACCATGCTAGGGGGCCAGGGTACGGTGTTGCATTTCCACACAAGATAGCAAGCGCCTGGTATTGCCAGGGAGAGGTGTTTACCAAACAGGAGATCCCTATCTTTCAGGACCTTCTCTGATCGTTTTCTGCAGCTCATCACCTCATCCCTTCTCCCCTCCGACCCCAACTCTCTTTCAGGCCGGCCAGCCTGCTTGTAATCCACATGACATGCCTTTTTGCCTATCATTTTCTTCATCTCTTCCCTCCCCAGATCATGTCTCCCCTCTTCAGAATGATCTTCAGAACTCGCTTCGCCCCACCAGTTTCCCCCAGCGTACTCGTTTATGTTCGTGCCTTTGCTTGACACCAGCACTCCTCCGCTTCCTGTTTGTTTATACTAGTATGTATGAGTGCTCTCTCAAATCTGGGGACTTTCCATGTCCCTCTGGCCTGTCATTGCTAATTACCTTGTTTCTCGAGGACCAGGATTATATCTGTCCTGCCCTTTGACTCTCCCTAGTACAGACCAGCACTCGGCACATTGGGTCAAAGAACAGAGAGTGGGATTGGCTGGGTCCAGATTGAGGTTTATCACTTGCTGTGTGACCTTGAACAAGCTACATAACCTTTCTGGGCTTCAGTTGTCTTATTTACAAAATGAAGATGATAATGGTGCTTTCCTCGTGGGGTTATTGACTTCGAGAATGTCTTAGATGTGGCAAGTGCTCAGTAAATGCTGCCTGTCAGTATTATTATTCATATCCGTGTTAAATTATTAGAAACCCTGCCAAAACATGTGGCCTAAAGTGCCACTTACAAATTTTACAGTTCAGCGATGCTGTCCATTTAAATCAGTTACATGTTGGCATCAGAAAACATGTCTTTCCTGACCAAAGCACTGTTGATTACTCCTGTCTCGCTCATTTCCTCTCTCTTCCTTTGATAGGCAGGTCCACGAGATCCAGTCTCACATGGGACGCCTGGAGACGGCAGACAAGCAGTCTCTGCACTGTGAGTAATTAACTATGGAGACCAGAGTCCTTTCTCTGATGACACGATGCTAATGGGCTGGGTTTCCTGACCGCGTTTCTGCTTCAGGGGCTTAATGATTCAGCGCAGAATGAGTTCTGTTGTTAGGGTGGACAGAAAAACCCTCTGGCAAAGTCGCTGACTTCCCTCATTGCGCCCTGTGGAATCCCACCAGTCTTATCCCCCATTACCCCTCCACTCAACCTGACATGGCCCTATGGGAATGGACATTCTCTCCTCCATCTGTCTTAATCTAATTACCGAGCGCTTAGAGGAATGTACTCCATACCAACTCAGAGATACTTAACTGGAATCGGTCATTTCTTCTGAGCTGAGAACTGTGGCTTTTTAGGAGGATTATTCAGAAACGAATAGCAGTATTAATTAGTTTAGTTCCCACACCCTGGTTTCTTTGGAGAAGAGCTCTGCTTTTTGTTTCGAGGTTTCTTTGCCGTTGTAAGGAAAGGTCCTCTCTCGGAGCTGGTCAGGCAGGCACCGCTGGTTCCCCACACGCTGCGGAGGCCACCCCGTCACCTCCCTGCCTGGCTGTCAGCACGCCCGATTCTGGCCACCTGTGCCTCCTTTCCACAGCCTCAAAAGCATCTCTGGGTTCTGTGCCCACCTCGTTCTCATCTAAACTGTATATCAGCTGTAGGTTGGACAGGTCCACTGTCATGTCTTTCTGGAGCGAGAAGCAGTCTGGGTGCCTTTCTTCTGTGCACAGATTAGTGTCCAATCGGCTCTGTTTGCCTTCCCAACATTCCCATCGTCATACGATTAAAAATGGAAAAGTGGTAATTTCGACTGTTTATCAAAAGGGATAAGGAAAATGAGTGTATTTATCATATCTTTACCTCTGTGGATTCTTTCCTGGGCCTTTCCTAGTGATATTTGGTCGATTTCGGGGACATCAGCGTCAGCCTGCCCATTCTTACGGAAAGCCTTAAGGGAGCGCTCCTCTGTGTTTCACACACTCATCTTCCCCTTTGCTTTTTTTTTCTTTTAACCTCATTACTGTAGGGAATTCAATTGGCAGCCTTTTTACTAGATATTTATAACTCGTATCTGAGAATAATCTCAAAGGAAAAGAGACCTCATTCTGTTTCAGAAGATACTGCATTTTGCTTAAAATATTTCATTTCTAAAAGCAAGAAATTTATTTCTACAGATTCATCTAGCTTTTTTAAAAATTGGCATTGTTATGGCTTTAACAGCTACGTGTGTGTGTGTTTAGAACAACATTTACAGAGTCACTTAGTATAACTTGAATTTTTTCCAGTTACTCACTAGTATATGTGTTTTTCTCCTTTTAAAATGTGTTTCTTTGAATTTATCGGATATGGAAAAAAGATGTGTTTAATGTATCCTTCTAATTTAAGTTTGCTGTCTCTTTTCCAGCAATTATTCTTTTTTCTCTTTTGTGCAGTAGTAGAAAACGAAATCTAAGCAAGCATAGACCAGATATTCAGCCATCTAGAACGTCTGGAGATTTTGTCCAGCAAGGAGCCCCCTAACAAAAGACAGAATGCCAAACTGTGAGTGCTCTGACACCCTCAGCCCGTGAGGGCTAGCCCGGGGGAGGCTAGCGAATATTCTGAAAATCCATTTACGCATTGAAAAATGAGACTCTGTAAAGATAAAGTTCCCCTAAAGGGACGATTCCCTTTCAGTGATGCTTCCTCAAAATAAAAACCCTGTGAGGTTAGTGGCTCAGAAGCCTCGTGTCTCCTCACTTTGGGTCATTTTGAAATTTTGCCTCCGGTACTGCTGTTCTGACCAGACCCAGGGCCACTTGAAGCCTACTGCTGTCGGAGAGGTTGGCTCTGGCCTTTGGTTCCTGCTGCCTTCTTGGGTTGAAATGAAATCTTGCCCTTAATCACTTCAGTCAGTCTGTTTATAGTGAGATGCCAATCTTACGTTTGATACTCCCCCATGAAATTAAAATGAAACCCCCCTCACCACCTCCACCCCAGCCCCTGCTCCCGAAAGTTTTATGCAACTTTGTTGGTGCTTTACTCGAAAGATGCCCTTGGGCTTCTTCTTGGAAAGCGATACAGTCCATCGAAGGTCAGGGAGAGGTCCTTGAGCCTGCTTCCTGTCACCTGTTCCCTGTCATGCATCCAGACTCAGAGACCAGCAGAGCTTAAGTAAAGCTGCTGGAATCTCGTGGGCGACCACCCGACTGGAACCACAGGCTGCTGCTTTTTTTTCACCATCCTCGATCAAAATCAGATGATGCTGTCGGGGATAATGCGAAGCGGTGTGGGGAGAAGGGAGGAAGCATCTTCCTTGAATACAGAGCCTGGCCACTGCAGTGTGCTACCTCGGGTTCCTGACATGTAGTCTCGCTCTCCATCAATTCCAGGCGTGTTGACCAGTTGAAGTATGACGTCCAGCACCTGCAGACCGCTCTCCGAAACTTCCAGCATCGGCGGTACACAAGGGAACAGCAGGAGAGACAGCGAGAGGAGCTTCTGTCTCGCACGTTCACCACTAACGTAAGCCGGGCTCCGGGGTGGGGGATCTGCAGGTACCTGGCAGCTCCCGGGAGCTGCGGCTGGGGTCTTGGAGCTTCATCCTCTTCGGGGATGTCTGAAGGCGACCGAGGAGGAGGAGACTAACCAGAAACGACAGTGGCCTTCGTGCATTGCCGCCGACCCTAGACCCAGACAGGGAATCTCTTTTGCTGACACAGAAGCCCGACAAGGAAGCGGTTACACTGAGGGAACGGGCAGAGGTGAAAATGACCTGGTTGGACCGGGAGGTGGAAGTTCATGTGGTGGAAACGTTTTTTTCTGGTCAGATAGAGACATGATGATGAGAACGGAGACCGTTTGTGAGGAGGGCAGCGTCCCAAAGCTGCCTTCGGGCGCTCGGCACGGCTCTGTCTGCAGCTCCAGGGTCGGGTCCGTGAAAATGTTTTTGCCCCGAATCTGAGCAGCAGTTTGGAGGAATTTGTTAACAGATATTTTGTTTTGGACAGATTGCTTAACTTTGAGCCTGTTCGAAAGTGGCCTGTTGGCTTGCATGTTTGATTTGGGGGACACCCTTGGCCCTGCCCTTGGGTCTCGATAGGATCATTTCCTGCACACGGCTGTACAGCACGCTGGCCTTTTGCGTGTCCTGCATCATATATTTCCACCAGGCGAGGTGGGTTTGGGGGCCTTTATGTTTTTTGTTTCGTTTTACAGAGAGGTTCATTTTCTGATGAGGTCTTAGCGTTCTGAGCCTGCCGTTAGAATTTAGATCAGTCCGGTGCCTGGGTGGCTCAGTCGGTTAAGCGACTGCCTTCGGCTCAGGTCATGATCCTGGAGTCCCGGCATCGAGTCCTGCATCAGGCTCCCTGCTCTGCAGGGAGTCTGCTCCTCCCTCTGACCCTCCCCCCTCTCATGTGCTCTCTGTCTCTCTCATTCTCTCTGTCTCAAATAAATAAATAAAATCTTTAAAAAAAAAAAAAAAAAAAGAATTCAGATCAGTCCACATGTCACAGAGGTTTGTCTTTTTGCCGCGTCCCCACTGGCAGTAAATCTCCCTGAGTGTTTCAGAATGTGCCCGCATAGATTTTGCTTCTCTAGGGTAAGCAGTCACATATCAGTGGTTAACAGTTGGAAAGTGTAATGAGGATGTGCTTGGTGGTAGAGCGGTAAGCGTAGTTCCTTTCCTCTTTTTTTGGTAGTTTCCAAGTTTTCATAGATGCCTTTCAAAAGCGTAATGAACTATACAACACACTAAAAGGTTTGTGGGCTTTTGATAGTCATGGCACTGGGTATTCAGGCCTGTTTTAGGCCAGGGACGATCACTTAGAATTATTTTGTTTCTCATCAGCTTGGTGTGGTGCGGAGCACACAGTGCCCTTAGTAAAACTTGACTTGCCAAATGAACTACTTGCTGGTCATTCTGTGAGCTAAAACTAGGATACGTTTTTCTGAGCGATGGTGCCCCATTAGCTATTAGAGGGTGAGAAAGATTTGTATATAAAAGGCAGATCTGCAGATGCTGGTCAGGTGAAGAGAAGTCGCTCATTGATTCATTCAAACGCTGGAGTCTTTCGCCCCCCTGAGCACTGGCCATGTGCAGAAAACACTGTTGAAGGTGCCGAGAGTAAAGCTTGGGAAGAAAGGCAAAGCCGGGGCTCCTCCCTGGGAGACGCTCCCGTGTGAGCCGCAGGGACAGAGAGCAGGTGCGTGGGAAATGATTCCGGACTTGTGCAGCAAAGAAGGAGGTGGTTTAGCCTCTTGGTGGTGATTGAAGGAGGTGAGAAGGGCACTGCTTGCCAGGCCGAAGAGTGTGCCATGGTCAGGAGGCAGGAAAGCGGAAGTACGGCCAGTCCCGACCGGGACTGTATACGGCCCACTTTGGTGTAAACTTAGAGCCCCAGGACCAGTCTCAGGGTTTGTCTCCACAGGGTGGTTGAGAGGGCAGGCTCCGCACTCAGTAGTGAGATGCAGGCCCCGCTGGACTTAGCAGCTCCGCCTTATCTCAGACAAGCTGTTCCACCTCTCTGGGTTTCAGTTTCTTCACCTCTAAAATGGGGACACTATAGTAACTACGTCGTCACGTTAAGAGTGAGGATTAAGTGAGCTTAGGGTAATGCGCACACAGAGGGGAAAGCACTTGATCAGTGTCTGTTTTTCCCTCCCTTCCTTTCTTTACAGCGCTTTCTTGCGTGCTTAGGAGAATTGTCATTCAGGCTACCATTAGGCCTTCCATAGAAATGGGCTCCTCTGTCCTGAGTCTCCATCTAATGGCAGGGATAAGCTGTAGATAAAACAGCTGCAGAACCAAAGCAAACCTTTAATACTGTGTTAAGGGAAAGCCAAGGAGAGGAACACGTGGACCACGCTAAGTTCATAGTCAGGGAAGTAGTCAGAGAAAGCCTTTAGGAGAAGGCCAGCGAGGGCTTGAAGGCCTGATGTTTTTCCTAGGCGGTGGTCATGGTAGAGAGGCAGGAATGAACGGGCCTTGTGTAGCAGGACTCATTTGCAGAGTGCCAAGTCGGAGGGAAGTTGCTCTTCCTCTGAGCGAACAGAGGCCACCCCAGGTCTTGGCTTTGCTTTCTCCTCTCTGTTAGGTTCCTCTGATTCTTGCACCATTTCCTCTGGCTGTTCCTCTGGCTTGGCCTTGGCCAAAAGGCAGAGCGGCCAGATGCGGTGGGACCCCAGGAGCTGACCAGCCAGCAGAGCTAATCCAGTGCCTGCGTCTCTTTCACAGGACTCTGATACCACCATCCCAATGGATGACTCGCTGCAGTTCAACTCCTCCCTCCAGAAAATTCACCACAACAGGGATGACCTCATTGGAGGAGTGCACAGTATTCTGGAGGGACTGAGGGCCCAGAGACTGACCTTGAAGGTGGGGGCCCTTCTGGGGGACAGGGAAAAGGCCCCTTGTTTTGGCCTCATCCAACGGTTTGGTACCTGCGTTTACATTGCGGTTCCGTATCCTCACATTTTGAGATTTTGATGGAGTCTGGGATCCTTCCTATCAGAGCTGAATTATTGTGAGTCCACAGGTCACCACACTGTCTTCGCCAGGAGCTATTTCTTGTGCTTGCAGCGAAGCATACTTTAGCATCTCTCGGTGTCTAGGTCCTTTTCCATTTACTGAACCTGTCATGAAAGTGACTGCTACAAAAGGAACCAGTAAGACCAAGAAATTCCACAATTTCAGAAATGACAGAATCCACAATTCTAAGAAGGCAGATGTGGCCGTATGGGGCACCTCCCCTTCCCATGGCTTCCCAGAGAGCACGCCACACACACACACACACACACACAGAGACACACACACACACACAGAGACCACCTTGGAACCGAGACCTTTTGTGCTCCTGTAACTGAGCCCCCGTGGGTGGGGTCTTAGGACCGCCCTGGTAGGCCGGCAGCAGACAGCTTCTAGAGCACCAGCCGTTGACCCACAGCACCGCTAGCACTCTCGTTAGTCACAGGTGTTTCTAGAAGCCCTGCCGCATTGGCTGAGACTCAAACCTCCCCCCACCCCACCCCCGATCCCGGGAGTGGTTTACAGAAACATTACACAGATTCTGATGTCAGTCGTGGTGTTTCAGCCTCAGCCCTTTTCCTGTATCAGCGCTGATGGATAATGGGGTGTGGGCTGTGCCTATTATCAGGGTGTGGTCCCCTGCGAACGAAGCACTCCCAGCCACTGAGCTGTGAGAAACAGTCACTCGGAAGTGTGAGCCTTATCTTAGTTTTTGTTGGACCACGTTGAGCCTGTCAGCTCCGCAGGACTTCAGTACGTGGCTGGACAGCCCCTGCCATCTTTACGAAGGAGAAGGTCAGGCGAACCGTGAGGGACACTTGACCTCCTGCCGCTGGCCGTGGTGCTTCTGATGGTCTAGAAGTGTGGTCTCTGACAGCTTCACAGGTGCCCCTCTTTCCGAGCGGCCACCTGCAGTAATCTCAACTGATAAGTGATGACTCATCTGCCCTTTCTTTAGAAAACTGTCCATATCCCAGAAAAACAGTAAAACCCTTTTGTTTATTTATGTTAGAGAGCGTGTGCGAGAGCGGGGTTGGGGGGAGCTTGCAGAGGGAGAGGGAGAATCTTCAGCAGGCCCCATGCCCATCAGGGGCTCGATCCCACGACCCTGAGATCATGACCTGAGCTGAAATCAAGAGTTGGGACACTTACTGACTCAGCCCCCCAGGCGCCCCAGTAAAACCCTTTTAGAATAAGACTCACCGTATTGCACTAAGGTCGACCTGGTGGGGTTTAGTTAGAGCTTCTTGTTAAACCCAGTGTTCATTTCCCAGCAAAGTCTGGTGTCCCGGGGGGGTCCAAGCAGCATCTGCCCCTAGGCTGTCCCCAGAAGGAAGTGCAGGGAAGCCTGAGAGGCGGGTGGGGTTGGAATGTGAGTTTTCTAATTCACTTTCCTCCACGCACCTACCCTACTTGCCTTTTGTCTCTTGATTCCCGCCACCCACCTCCCACCCCGCTTCCATCCGGGGTTTTCCTGCCTAAACCATTTGAAAGGAATATAGGAGAGAGCATGAAGGAACTGGGCCGTGATTTGGAGAAATTTGTGGTTGGAAAGGAATACATTTTTTTTTTGAAATTTATGTTAATTTTCAGGTGATTTTAGAAGCTTGATACTTGCACTTTGTACAGTGATGAAATAATCTGCTCTCAGAGCTAAGCAGAATCTTTAGCGTGAGCCTAAATTTTACCATCACTGTCGTGGAAAAAACACATCTCTGGCCTCCTCTGGCAACAGTTAAGTTGGACTTGAGAGATCCCTCTCAGGCTTATTCGTCATTGCCTGGGCTGAACCCAGGTTTTGAATTCCTGTCCTCATGTTGTTTTCACTTCTGCCTCTTCTCTCTTGCTCGTTAATGCATCGTTCATTTAAAAAATGCACGGAGGGCATTAGATGCCATCCGTAAGGATGCGGTGGGTGGTGTGTATGGAAGTAGGTTAGGGTCTGCCCCAGGAGTCATTTATACTTGTTACTTTGTAAGAAATTGAGTGTGCTTAAAAAGAAAACTTAGAAAGCAGAGAGGAAGGGCACGCTGGGTGGTGTGTGCTGTTGATTTAGGAGTAAAATACCCTTTTGGCTTTGGTGGCGTTTATGTAAGGGGTCGCTGTGTTGGTGTCTCATTCCGTGTCACCCACGTCAGACCCTCTGGTAAACATGGATGTTGACCCACATGTTACACACCGGAGAATCCCAGAGGTTTCTACTCTACAAGGTGAACAGGTTAGGGAGCAGAGGAAGAGTTTTTTGATGTTGCCCTTTCAAAAAAAATACATAAAACATTCCAACATAAAAAAATTTTCTTGAGGTATAATGTACATACAGGTGTACAGATGTAATTTGCCCGGGTCATTGGATTCTGGCAGACGCGCACCCCTTTGTAATTCACACTGCTGTCCAGACAGAGACTCTTTCCATCGGCCCTGGACAATCCGTCCTGCTTTTCCCAGCCAGATGATTCCTCCTTCCAGGCAACCATTGTTTTGATTATCTCACCATAAAGGAGTTTTGCCTGTTACTGAACTTCATATAAATGTATTCGGAAGTGTGGCTTCCTCTCAGGAGTGTTTTCCAAGCTCTTTCATATTGTTCATGTCGGTCATTAGGTCCTTTTAATTGTCAAGGAGTATCTCCATCATGCAGACTCACCGGACATTGTTTACCCGTTCTCTGGTTGACGTACACCTGGCTTGCTTCCAGTGTTTGGATATTCTCCTGTGTTTTCCTTCAGAAGCTTTATGTTTAATTCTGCGATCCATCTCAAATTCATTTTTGTGCATAATATGAATTGAGGATCTTCTCACACACGTACACGTATATGATATACAGGAGACGTGTGTGTGTGTATGTCCGTGATACGTATGTGTGCTAGAGTCCATTGTTCCAGCACATTTGTGGAGAAAACTTTTCTTGCCTCCTTGCTTTGCTCTGGTACCTTAATCAAAAGTCATTTGACCGTAAGCGTCGATCTGTTTCTGATTAATGCTGCATTTTATGTGCTTTAGGCATGACCAGGAGACTGTCTGTTGGTAAAGTCCCATTCCTTGGCAAGACGAGTTGATCACTGTTTTCCGTTCTCTGCTTGTCTGCCCCAGGGGACTCAGAAGAAGATCCTCGACATTGCCAACATGCTGGGCTTGTCCAACACCATGATGCGGCTCGTTGAGAAGCGGGCTTTCCAGGACAAGTACTTTGTGATCGGTGGGATGCTGCTTACCTGTGTGGTCATGTTCCTCGTGGTGCAGTACCTGACGTGAGCCAGCCACGGCCCGAGGCTACCATCGTTCCCGCCGAGTGAGCGTCTGCGTGAGAGCGTGTGCGTGAGCGCGAGAGGGGGGCCCAGAGGCTGCCTTCTGAAATGTATGCCCTTCTTAACTGTGAAGACCACTCGGAAGTAATTGTGATCTGTAACCTAGTGGGAGTTTCAAACCTGCTCTGTGTTCTGTGGTACCTTGGAGGCGGGAGTTAGTGCCCCCACGATGCACGGCGCTTAGGAAATGAAAGAAGTACCTGTTCTCTCTCTCTCTTTCTTGCCCTCACTGGGGGAGGAAGTGACGGTAAGGGAGGAAGCAGGAAGGAGAAGATGGCTTTGCCGGTTTTGTCCACGTAGCTGCTGCGCACCCTGGGAAGGCTTTCATAGTGAGCCTTGCAGATAGGACTGTCCACTTTGTCATCGTCTGGCCTCCTGGCTCCTAATGGGTAGGTCAGAGCAGAAGCAAAACGAAGGAGGGGAAAGAGGCCTTCTTTCCCTACGTCGTTGTAACAGATGGATTTCCATGCTCTTTTTTTTTTTTTTTTTTTAAAGATTTTATTTATTTATTTGAGAGCAAGAGAATGAGAGGGAGGAGGGTCAGAGGGAGAAGCAGACTTCCCGCCGAGCAGGGAGCCCGATGCAGGACTCGATCCCAGGACTCTAGGATCATGACCTGAGCCGAAGGCAGTCACTTAACCAACTGAGCCACCCAGGCGCCCGATTTCCATGCTCTTGTTACTAGCTTCCCCCATCCGCCAGGGACATGCAGGTGATTAACTGCCGGTACTTGTCACCCTTCCCTGGAAGCAGCTACCTAGAGGAGACAGAGGCACTGATGCTATTGCAGAAGCTCGTAAGATTTTCCCCATGAGGGTGTTGGGTGTTGCTCCTTTCTAAAGTGAGGCCAGTATTATTCCCTGAGAATGTTTGGTCTTGAGACTGAAGACCCTGATCGCTGATTTTTTTTTTCCCAGTGGTTAATAGAATGGGTGGTTTCTGCGGTTCCAGGACTGCAGCCTGGGGTCACGGCCAGGCCCTGGTGGGCCTTTGCCCCTGAGAAAGTCGCCGTATGCGGAGGTTAGTGTTGTGTCCATTACAGCGTCTTCTCTCGTTTGAGCGTCTCTGATTCTCTGGCTGTCTTCCCTTCCCTGAAATCTAGCAGCTGCCAGCCAGGCCCCCATTCTGCCCAGCCAGTGTGGGCAGGCACCCCCCTGGAGACATCCCTGGTGTCCTGTGGGTCTCTGTTGTCAGGGACCAGGACATTTTTCCCTCTCTGACCAACCCTGGATCAAGGCTGCACCAGGACCTGGTGCACTGTGGAATTTATTGTAAAGCCAGCCTCTCTGTTGTGAGTGAGCACTGCAAGTTCCAGAAAGACCTGGTTAGCATGTGTTTTCATCTGTCACAGGCCCTACCAGCCCCTAAGCTCACTAGCCTTGTGGCAAGACATAAAATAATACTTGGAATTTCCCAGAACTGGAACCCGGGTCAGTATGAATCCACCTGGGATTGTCCTGCCCCACCTGCGTCCTGTGTTTGTTCTTTGTCACCTGGACGGTCATCTGTCTTCTCTTCCTTTTCTGTGTGTGTTCCATTCCACCTCCCTTGTTTACCTCCCACCTGTTTCTGTAGCAATTTTGGTCTTTTTAGGCATACCTTCTGGCGAATGTGTCTTAATTGTCACAGATTTTTCAACATGAGTTATAGTTTTGAAAATACATCGATTCATAGGCAGCGAACTGTCCTTAGAAGAGACCGAAGCTGCTGCTTCCGGTACTACTGTAGTAACGAGGGTTCACCTGCAAGCCTGAGACACGTTGATCAGCAATCCCTTCACCCAGAGAACAAGACAACAGTCCTTAATACATAAACCATGTTTGTGTGAAGTGTCTTAACTTACAAGTCAGTATTTACTTAGAAGTCATGGAACTAAAAGCATTTTTTTAATGATCATTGTGTCTGTTCAATAATCAAGATGACCTTTCTACCAAACAGAACAGATTTTGAATGTTTTTCTATAATTCTCTAGTACCTGGCTCAGTATTAATATTGTAAATAGACTAAAAAGACTGTCGGCTTATTACTTTCTTTGAGAGATGTTTTTTCAGAAGGCATTTTGAATTTTTTTCCCCCTTCATAGTTCCAGAAAAGGAGAAATGTTTAGATTCAGCTGGCAACCCAGGGATCCTGTTGTTTGAAATCCTATCAAAGCTTGTAGAGACTTCAGCTTTACCCAGAAAGGCTGTAATGGAAATAGTAAGGTAAGTGGCAAAGAAGTGTAAAATTGGCCTTCTTAGAAGCACTTATGAGGCTCTTTACATCCTACTCCACAGGGTCTGCTCCAAAACAAAGGAGAAGGAGTCTGTGGCAAAGCTCACATGCCACATGGGACCTTATTCCTTCATCCCAACTGTGCTAACTTTGAAATTGCAAGACTGACCTCAGACCATCTCAGGGCCCACTGAGGGCCTAAGATAGCCAAGAAGGTTCAGACTCTTCTACCCTAAGCTAGAGAATCCCAGAAGAGTAAAACTTTTCCAGGGATGACTTCGGGTGGGCTTGGAAATCTAGTTTGGAAGACACTCCCATTCATGCTGGAACTACCAGGGGCTCTTTTGACTCTGGGATGATGTAGAGCAATTTCAGACCTCCCAAAGTAGCCTTTGGACTGGAGCTGAGCCAGAACTGAATTTGAGAATAGAGGATGAAGAAACATCCTCACACCCAAATGTGTTTTATTCCAGCAAATACCACTAAAGATAAATTTCCTCAAACTATTTATATCATTGTATTATAGATATTGAATATTGCTGTTATCAATCCTTCTAGCTCATATTCTTTCAAAGCATTCTGCTTTCCCTTTCAGACTTAAAAATACAGAATGTTTTCAGAATCCTCAATGGATAATCATCTCTCTATGCTATCCTATATTTGTCAGATGTGGAACCAGAGGGTCCACAAAATTCTACTCTTCATTCCATTTCAAAGGCATTTATTAAATGCCTGTTGTTGGTACACAAATTTGACACATTGCTTAATTTCTCAGCCTTGGTTTCCTCACCTATAAAATGGGAACAACAATAATAATACCTACCTAAAAATAATAATGATAATAATACTTTATAGGGCAGTTGTGGGGATAATATGTGATAATGCAGGTGAAGTAGTTCAATAAATATTCCTGGAGCTAGGGGTGCCTGGGTGGTTCAGTCGGTTAAGTGTCTGCCTTCGGCTCAGGTCATGATCTTCAGGGTCCTGGGATCAAGCCCCGCATCGGGCTCCCGCCTGCTTCTTCCTCTCCCACTCCCCCTGCTGGTGCTCTCTCTCTCTCTCAAATAAATAAAATCTTAAAAAAAAAAAAAATCCTGGAGCTCAATATATATTATTATTATGTGGAAGTAGCTGGAATAGTCATAAAGCATATATATTATCTGTTTTAATCCTCTCTTTTTTTTAGATTTTATTTATTCATCAGAGAGAGGCAGAGGCAGAGGGAGAAGCAGGCTCCCCGCGGAGCAGGGAGCCCGATGCGGGACTCGATCCCAGGACCCTGGGATCATGACCTGAGCCAAAGGCAGACGCTTAACCATCTGAGCCACCCAGGCGCCCTTAATCCTCACTTTCTTAATGGGTACTATTATCCTCATTTTACAGATGAAAAACCTGAAGTACAGGTATTAAGTAACTCACCCAAGGGGCAGTGGTGCCTAGATTTTAGCACAAACAGTCTGATTCTAGAACCCATGCTCCTATCTACCCTCCTAGACTGCCTCTCAGGAAATCGTAGCTGATGGTGTTTTTATTATGATGATGATTATGGTTGTTGCTTTTCATACACCTGGTTTCTAAGGAGATCAAGTGTTTAATACGTAGCATTTGCATTTAAGGAACTTAAAATATAAATTGAGAGAAAAAGCCATAAGTATGTAGATTACTAAATATACAAAAGTGAAATGACACAAAATATATCACACAATTAACTGTCAAATGAGTGGCAAAGGTCATTCATTTAGTTTCTGAGAAAGCTGGTCTCAAGCTGGATAATGGTAGAATTTGATAGGTATTCCTGTAGTTGACTATAGCATTTATTGAGCATTATGTGCAGAGTTCTGAGTGTGCACTTTACATGCATTAGCTTTTTCCTGGATCACTGTCTCCTAACTGGTCTCCCTGCTTGCACCTTTTGACTCCCACCCCCATGACTTGCTGGCTCCACAGTCTATTCTCAACACTCCCTCTGCCTAGCTGATGCCTTGATGCCTACAGCACCAAATGGTCCTTTTAGCACAGTGTCGGATCATGTCACTCCTCTGCTCAGAACCTTCAAAACCCTCCCATTTCCCTCAGAGTGCAAGCCTCACACTTCACATGACTTACTGGCCCTCCAGGTGATCTGCACCCACCTTTGACCTCTTTTTCTTTGCCCCCTGTTACTCTGCTCAGTCCGTGCTGGCCTCCTTGAGGCCAGGCTGCTCCGTCACTCCCCACATCCAGCTGATCACCAAGTCCCACCCGTTTGACCTCCTAAACCTGCTTCATAGCCTCGCACTTCTCCCTAGCCCCATGCTGGGGAGGGGGCGGGGAAAGAAGCAAAGGACTGAGGACAGAACCACAAGGAATTCCCATACTTGTGGAATGGAAAGAAACAGACGGGTCAGCAAAGGAAACATTAGTCATCAAGAAGGGAACCAGGACGGTGTGAAGTCGGAAGCCAGGGCCACAGACAAATCTAAACCAGGACAGACCTTCCCCCAGTATTAAATGCTAAAGTGAGGCCAAGTGAAGTCAGGACTGAAGGGGTAGAGTTAGATTTCGTGGTTAAGATGGTAGTTAAGAAATCATAAGGGGGGTGCCTGGGTGGCTCAGTCATTAAGCATTTGCCTTCAGCTCAGGTCATGATCCTGGAGTCTCGGGATCCTGGAGCGGGGAGCCTGCTTCTCCCTCTGACCCTACCCCCTGCTCATGCTGTTTCTCTCTCTCTCTTCTCTCACTTTCTCAAATGAATAAATAAGATCTTTATAAAAAGAATTAATTTAATTAATGTATTCAGCATATAACTTGCAACTAGACTTTTTTCTTTTTGTCCAGTAAGACACCTTTTCAGCAGGACTATATAGCACTTTCTATTCTTTTTTTGGATTACTTTTTTTTTTTTTTTATAGCTATTTCCGAAGAAAATTCCAGGATACCACATCAGGAATGTCATGGAGTCCCTACACTGTGGGTTATGGGAAAAGGAGATTTAAACCAGACATATGCACACCTCCAAGCTCAAGCACAGCTGCCTTTGCTAATGCTGCCCGAATCGCAATAATGCAAGAAAAGGATTTACTTAAATTTCTTGAAGAGCTCAAGAGTAAGAACCATTTGTCCTCTCCCCCTTGTTGTAAAGGATTTATTTGTATACTACTGGTCAGAAATAAATACTAGAGGCCAAATGCTAAAGAAGCAGGACCACAGCCTATTCTGAGTGACTGGTCTCTGTCACACAGATATCATTTGAAAGCAAATCCACATCTTCACCTGAATCCTCCTGATACAGGTGAAGCCTGGAGTCTGGATGAAGCCTAGACTCTATGTATGGGGAGGGAGGTGAGGAGAGTGAAAAGGAGGGTCATGGCCATTGAGAAGACTAGAAAAAAGCAAAATAGGCACCACATGTATGTCTTTTATGCGAATTTCTTCTTACACTGTTCATAATACTATTTTTGGTATTTTGTTTTTATCTTTTTGTTTTGTTTTGTTTTTATCTTTTAAGGGTGCAGTCCTCCTTCAGATAGCCCATATTCAAAAATACCCATCTTTCCATTGTTTCCTAACAAGGATGGGGTGGTGATGGGAAAGCCATTCAAAGACATACAGAAATTAGAAATGCTAAGGAGAAGGGAGCCTCTGGATTTCTTTGAGAACTACTTTTTCCATAAAAGAGACTGGAAGACACAGGTAAGATTTTGGTTATGTCACATTAGTTAATTTAAATACTTAGGTTTTCAAGTTCTAACTTAACAGAACTAATACTTTTTTAATGACAAACATTTTCAGTCATTATATTTCAAACCAGATTCCATAGCCATATTCCTAAATTTAAGCCCAGGTATAAATATTTCATTTAATTTCAACGAATAGTTAAGCTTACTGAAAAATACAACCTTAGGCTTGGGGTTAGAGGTGGAGAGTATAAGAATAACAATAAAAAGGCCCTCAGATCCTACCTACACCTGCTCTCCCTTCAACCTAGTGACCAGAAGCTGCATTTTGGGCTCCCTCAACTAGCTCTAGATCTTGGTTGGGCCAGATACGATGGGATGAGAGGACCAGGTCCACAACTCAGTGGCGCAATCTGTGATGGAGTGGCCATCCTGCTCTTGGACTAGACCCCAAATTATAGTCCTGGCTACACCTTCTGGCCTACTTCAAGGTCTGAATGTTAAAGTCTCAGGCAGCCATGCCTTGGTTTCTGGGTATTCTCTGAGGAAGCTCTGGCCTCACTCCTGGCTATGACAGGCCTCCCAGCCTGCAGAACATCAAGATTTCACTGGAGGGGCACCTGGGTGGCTCAGTCGGCTAAGCATCTGCCTTCAGCTCAGGTCATGATCCCAGGATCCTGGGATGGAGCCCCACATCAGGCTCCCTGCTCAGTGAGGAGCCTGCTTCTCCCTCTCCCACTCCCTCTGCTTGTCCTCTCTCTCTCTCTGTCGAATAAATAAATAAAATCTTTAAAAAAAAAAAAAGATTTGATTGGAGACCAGTGAGGCATCTCTGGGTTCCAGAAATCCATGTGGTGTTCACATCACTATGAAACCTCTTAGAAGTCCCTCCAGGCATAGAGTTTAAGAGTCCCCAAGGCTGGGGGCAGGGGTTAATGGGGAGCTGCTAAGCAACGGGCATACAGTCTCAATTATGCAAGATGAGTAATTCTAGAGATATACTGTGCAAAACTGTGCCTATAGTTAACAAAACGTATTGTACACCAAAAATGTGTTAAGAGCATAGATCTCATGTTAAGTGTTCTTACCACAATAAAATAAAAATTGTTTTTTAAAGATTTTATTTATTTATTTGAGAGAGAGAGAGAGAGAGCATGAGAGTGGGGTGAGGGGCACAGGAAGAAGCAGACTCCCCAGTGAGCAGGGAGACCAACGCGGGACTCGATCCTGGGACTCCAGGATCATGACAGAGCAGAAAGCAGATGCTTAACCGACTGAGCCACCCAAATAAAAAATTTTTAAAGAATCTAGGGGAAAACAGGTGCTGGCAAGGATGTAGAGAAAGGGGAACCTTCCTGTACTGTTGGTGGGAATGCAAACTGGTGTAGCCACTCTGGAAAACAGTATGAAGGTTCCTTAAAAAGTTAAAAATAGAACTACCCTATGACCCAGCAGTTGCACTATGAGGTATTTACCCAAACAACACAAAAATACTAATTCGAAGAAATACATGCACCCCAATGCTTATAGCAGCATTATCTACAATAGCCAAATTATGGAAACAGCCCAAATGTCCACTGATACATGAATGGATAAAGAAGAGGTGGTGTGTGTGTGTGTGTGTGTGTGTGTGTGTGTGTAGATATATACATCTTTTTTATGACTGAGCAATATTCCATTGTGCATAAAGAATGAAATCTTGCCATTTGCAACAATGTGGATGGAACTAGAGAATATTATGCTAAAGGAAATAAGTCAGTCAGAGAAAGACAAATACTGTATGATTTCACTTACATGTGGAATTTAAGAAACAAAACAAACAAGCAAAGGGGAAACAAAGAAAGAGAGAGAAGCAAGAAACAGACTCTTAACTGTAGAGAACAGATAGTACCCAGAAGGGGGGGTGGGTAGGGGGTTGGGTTAAATAGGTGATGGGGATTAAGGATGCACTTGTTGTGATGAGCACCAGGTGTTGTATGCAAGTGTTAAATCACTATATGAAACACCTGAAACTATTATTACACTGTATGTTAACCAGAATTTGAATAAAAACTTAAAAAAAAAAATAGACTCTGGAGGAGTAGCACAGTCACAAATGACCTTAACTTCAGACTTTGAATTTATCTCTCCAGATGAAGTCATACCCACAGGCAGGTATCACCAACAAGTTGGAAATAAGGGGAACTTTATTCCCCTTTAAATTTATTTTCCAACACTAAGCCCTCCACCTGTGATCATTATCTGTTTACTGTCAATCTCTCCAACCAGAATATAAGGTTCATGTAGGCAAGGACTTTATTTCTTTCACTAAAGGATTCCTATCACCTAGAATAGAAACTGGTCTATAGGAGACTCAGTATCTTTTGGATGAAAGGAAATTATAATACAAAGCCTTTATTTATTGAGAGCAAGATTGTCTCTAATCGTATCAGCAGAGATAGTGTCCACAGCTTCCTAAATGGTCCGCTTCTATCTTTGTCCTCTGCAGTCTATTCTCAACACAGCAACCAAAGTGGCTCTGCTAAAATCAGCTCAAAACTTGCCAGTGGTTTTTCACATCACTCGAAGTAAAAGCCAGAATCCTTACTGTAACACTCAGGGTCCTACACAATCTAAACCTGAGGCTTCCAATAATGGTAGCCACAGTGGCTATTTAAATTTACATTTAAAGGTCACCTGGATGGCCCAGGAGGTTAAGCATCCAACTGTTGATTTGGGCTCAGGTCATGATCTCAGAGTCCTGGGATGGATCCCTGCATATGGCTCCCCACTCAGCAAGGAGTCTGCTCCCTTTCCATCTGCCCCTCTCCACCCTACACGTGAACTCTCTCTCTCTCAAATAAATAAATAAATCATTTTTTAAAGATTTTATTTATTTAGGGGTGCCTGGGTGGCTCAGTTGTTAAGCATCTGCCTTCAGCTCAGGTCATGATCCCAGGGTCCTGGATTGAACCCTACATAGGGCTCCCTGCTCTGCAGGGAGCCTGCTTCTCCCTCTCCCACTCTCCCTGCTTGTGTTCCCTCTCCCACTGTGTCTTTCTCTGTCAAATAAATTTAAAAAAAAAAATTTTTTTTTAATAATATAAAAAATAAAGATTTTATTTATTCATGAGAGACAGAGAGAGGCAGAGGCAGAGGGATAAGTGGGCTCCCCGTGGAGCAGGGAGCCTGATGCTGGGACCTGGGATCATGACCTGAGCCGAAGACAGACACTTAACCGACTGAGCCACCCAGGCATCCCAATAAATTAATCTTTTATAAAAAAAAAGAAAAGACCTGGTGATGGGTATTAAAGAGGGCATGTATTGAATGGAGCACTGGGTGTTATAGGCAAACAATGAATCATGGAACACTGCATCAAAAACTAATGATGTAATGTATTGGTGATTAATATAACATAATAAAATAAAACTAAAAAAAAGAAAGGAAGAATTACTGGTTTGGGGAGTACTAATCAACAAGAACTAAAATACTGTACACCACAGTGACACAGGAGATGAGGAGGCTGGTACTCAGAATTAAAGCTTCCTATATTTTGTTAAATTTATAATGAGTGTTAAAAATGTGAGGATAATCACTAAAATGAATCATGAATAATTTAATGAATAATCATTATAATGAATAACTGTTGAATAGAAGGGGGAAGGAACAAGAAAAAAGAGAAAACATGGAAAAATAGAAAGTGCAAAATAAAATAGGTAGAAAATCCAAATATATCAATAATCACAATAAAAGATTAAAACATACTAGTTTATTTAAAAAGTATTAAAAAGAAAAAATAGACAATGGTTCATCTTTCAAGTCTAAAAAAAGGATACTGAGACTGATTTTTAATAATTTTCAGATATCTGTTCTTTAAAGGAGACACATCTAAAATACAACACAAAGTATGAAAGTAAAAGGACAGGAAAAGATACATCAGGCAAATACAAATCAGTGAGCTGGTATCAATATATTAGTATGGGGAAAGTAAAATTTAAGGGAAACATAACTAAAGATAAAGATGCTATTTAATTATTTTTTTAAATTGTCAGGAAGATATATCTATCTTGAACCTGGATGCACCTAGCAAGTTGACAGATAAGGTGACAATTCACAGAATTGTAAGGATTAACTTTAGACGTTTTAAAGGCATGCATGCTAAAAAAGTGAATACACAAATCCATAATCACAGTGGAAGATATTTATCATGTATCTCTAGAAATTAATGAAGCAGACCAAAGGTGGGAGGAAAAGGAAATCAGCTCATTTTACAAAGAAACTGTACCTGTTAAGGAAGAGAGACATGGAACATGAAGAATCAGAATCTAGAAAAAGTTGTTTCGGGACCGGGGAACTTGAGCACATTAGTAGCCAGGAGGAAGGGCCCTTAGAGCTGTGGTTCTCAATCCGGGCTGCACAACAGAACCACCAAGGAGAGCTTTTAACCACCGTGTGTCCAGGCCACAACCCTATCCAATTAAATCAGATACTGAGATGGGGCTTAGGCCTTGGTATTTTTAAAAGTTCCAACATGCAGCCAAAGCTGACAACCACTGGCCAAGGAAGAGAAACTGAAGATGTAGGAGAGAGGCAGGACTGGCTACGTAATTTGTGGAGCCAAGGGCAGAATGGAAATGTAGGGCCCCTTGTCCAAAAATTACTAAGAATTTAAAGACTGCAACAGCAGAGCAGTAAACCAAATTCAGGGCCCTTCTGGTCCTATGGGATTGCACAAGTCTCACACCCATGAAGCCAGCCATGGAACAAGGAAAATCGAAGGGAAATGGTTCAGGAGGGGAATTAATAAAGATACAGGGGGGAGACTTTGGTCTTGGAAATCAGAAAGAAACTCTCACATAGAAGAGGCAAAGAGGAAAAATCAGGCTACACAATGGAGAGAAATCCCAAGGTGGAGAGAAGAGTGAAAAGAATTCATGTTAGCTAGTCCTGGAGAGATAATCATTAGCTGAGGGAATGTGCAGATCTGGTTTTCCAGCAGCCACTAAGAAGACAGCTATGAGATCTGTAAGAGAATTAACAGCATCTAATGAAGGAAAGTAGGGTCAAGCAGTACTAATAGCCTGGATGAGACTGGGTACTACACGTTTTCAAAGAAGCAATCCACATATTTACGTGATTTCCAGCATTGTTCAGCAGCCCAGGAACAGGGAAAATAGACAGCTGGTTCCCCAGTGGAAGTTTGGAAGTAATACAGGTTGTATTCCGTGGAGGGCACCTTCTTCACTTTTCAGTGCTTGGTGATGGCTTGGAAAATTTGGTGAGGATAGAGTCGGCTCTTCTCTACCCTCCATATCCATTCCACACATAAACCATCTTCTGGTCTGCACTTCTGAGTAGGCTTCATCATTATAAAAGAGAATTCGCTAAATGCTCAGTTACACATGGTGCTATACCAGGTGCCCCAAAACAATGGACAAGTGGCTTAGCAGTAACCTTATAAATCACATACAAACCCCTTCCTGATACGACATATTTCTGTTTATTATGTCTTTGTTGTATATTTAACCGAAAATATATCACTAACCTTCTTTGTGTGTGTGTGTGTGTGTGTGCATAAAGGCAGCAAATATAAAGCCTATCAACCCAGTCTCAGGCTATCCAAGTGACATCCTAGCCATTGACCAAACACTCAAGAAGAAGCAGAATTGGACAGTGACGGATGCAGCTGCTATGAAACAGCACGTGAGTATTAACTGTTGCATGCCTTCCCAGAACGCGTTGATCAGACTATTTTCTACTTCAATACTACAACCATCCCAAAGATATTTTTTCTGCTCTATGTCTTTAAAATAAGACAAGATCATTTCTCATTTTTACCCATTGTAATGACGCTTCTTGCTCTGTGATCAAATGGATTCAAATGTTAATTGTTATAATTCATCCCGCTAATCACCCATGGAACCATACCCAGCATCGTTTCTGTCAAACCTTCCTTTGTGTCATGCTGGAAATAGCAACTAATTAAGGCAGCAAACCAGCAGTCACAGTGAGCAGGTGTACTAAGGGAATCATGATGAGTGAAAGCATCTTGATTATAGCAGCTAAAAGAAGAAGAAGAATTTGAGCGCACTTCCTAGGTGCCAGGCACGGTACTCTAGATGTACTCTACAGACATTAATTAATTTACCTACCACAACAGTCCTTCCGGATAGGTGCTGTTATCATTGTCATTTTACAAATATGCAAGGGAGGTTGACTTCTCTAAAGGCAGAAGTAATAGAGCCAGAATTATAAACATGAGCAGCTTGGCTCTGGAATCCACACTTTTAACTGCAACTCTGTGCTCCCTATCTACTTTTGTGCCCTGACGTCTTAGCAACTTTTGGACTCCACAGAGACAGACTGAGGTGTATATATTTCATGCTGCCTCCCTTCTGCATTTGACCAGTGCAGTGATCAAACTCTCCTTGGCATTTTCTCCTTCCTCGGCCTTTATAAAGACTACATCTTGCAGGTCTGTGTCCCTTCCTCTCGCTTCACTTTCCTGAATGGTCACCCCTTAAGTCTTGATATTTCCTTGTTTTCTAGTCCCATCCTACTGCTCTTCCCATTATATGCACTAATCCATTCATTTTTTTAGTAAATATTTATACATTATTAATAAAGTTCTAGGATTAGGGGATGCCACGGGGGGTACATAGCTCCTGCCCTCCATGATCTTGAGCTTGGAGTGAGGGTGGAAGAGAAGGAAACACGCAGTAGTAATATATGGGAATAAATGAAACTGTAGGTCGTCAGTACTTCATGCCACAGAGGAGTGGGCTCCCAACCTCTGTCTCATCATGGCACATATTCATGCTGGAGTAAATGGAGGCTGCTTATAGCCAGAGACCTCCAGTCTACAGCAGCAGCTGCCCCAAGGGCTAAGAAGCTTGAGAAGATCAGTAAGGTGGCATACCTGTAACCCAGCAGAACATTGGGAATCTCTGTGTTAAGTGAAGGAACAACTAGGTCAAGTACTCTTCAGATGATCTCAGTCTACCCTCCTTGTTTCAGCTGCCACCTATATCCTGATAACTCTTAAATTTGTCACTCGTGTAGACTTCTCTCCAGTATTTTTGACTTATCTCACTGCCTGATGAATATTTTTACCTCACTGTCTCAGCATATCAAATTGTACATGTCCAAACCAAACTCATCATCTGCATCAAACTGGCTCTTCCCTTGGGGATTCTTCTTGACATCAGGTATTGATACCACTATCTACCCTGTCGATGAAACTAGAAGGCGAGGAATCATCCTAATTTATATATTGTCCTCACTCCTCACATCCACCTATGACCAACTGTGGCTACTCTTGTTCTCCTGAAGATTTTTCAAATCCATCCCCTTCATCCTACCACTACTGCCTTAACTGAGGCCCTCATTCGGTCTTGCCTGGACAACACACTCCAACCTCCTATCCCTGCCTCACAGCTGCTCCCCTCCACCCATTCTCCACGCAGCTGCTAATGATCTATTGTGAAGGTGTAGCTATATCCCTGTCCTGCTTGCAAATGAATCTTTCCCTCTCAACAATGGCAGGATTTCTCAACTATATTTTCTGCTCCACACACTGAGATTTGTCTCACTTCCATCAGAAATAGTGGCTTACAGGGGCGCCTGAGCGGCTCAGATGGTTAAGCCTCTGCCTTCGGCTCAGGTCATGATCCCAGGGTTCTGGGATGGAGCCCTACATTGGGCTCCTGGCTCAGCAGGGAGCCTGCTTCTCCCTCTCTCTCTGCTCTCCGCCTGCTCATTCTCTCTCTCTCCTTCTGTATCTCTGTGTCTCAGATGAATAAATAAAATCTTTAAAAAATAAATAAATAAATAAGAATGCTTTAAAAGAAAGAAAGAAAGAAAGAAAGAAAGAAAGAAAGAAAGAAAGAAAGAGAAAAGAAGTAGTGACTTACTACAGCTTGATTTTCACTGAGTAAAGGGCTCTCTCAGCCTCACTGAGATCAAATCTAAGGGCCCCTACAGCAGACAACATTTTGCCTGCCTTACCTGCATCATTCCTTCCCTCTCACTTTCAAAACTCGACATTTTAGCACTACCAACATGCAGGTGCCTCCTACCAACTCCAGAGGCTTATTACCTTTGCCTTTGTTTATGCTCTCTCCTTTCCCTGTAACACCTTCCCATTACCACTGACTCCCTCAATCCGGTTAAATCCTCGAGGAACTACTCAGCATCTTCTCTCTCCCTGCCCTAGGCTGGATTGAGTGCCATCCTTGGCACTCCTTTTATCTCCAGAGACTATCTCCATCCCACATTTCCTCCTTGGTTTAGTTTATTGTGTTTTTAATATTGTCATAAATGTCTTATCTCATTATTCCCAAATCATACATTTTGATTGTCCATCAACTCCTAACTCACATGTCCTCTAGAGGTTCCACCCAATGGATAAACTCGGTGATTTTCACCTAGCCTGGGAATGTAACTCTTGGGATGTCTAGAATTGTGGTTCATAAGTCAAAGATATGTTAAGCTAACTACTGCAAATGTCTGTTCTCTCACTGCAGGTGAAGAGAGCTACTGATGCCTATAACTTGGGAATTGCCCTTGAGCACCGGAAAGACATGCTAAACCTCTGGCGGAAGATCCGAGGGGATCTGATTGGAATAGACACTAAAAATGAGTCCTTTTATGACACCTTTTCTACCTATACATGGTCCTGGAATGTTTGCCAAGAATTACTTTCACCGAAGGACTTAAGGTTATATGATGCCTACATGAATAGGAATACCTTCCACAACCCTGTATTCTCTTCTTCCTCGGATATCAGTGAGTGTGACACAGAGACAGGAAGAAAAAGAAAACGGAAAGGTTTCAAAGGGTTTCGACAATGAAATTTCTACATTTTCTAAACAGCTCATTGCAAACTACTTTTTCATAGATATCAAAATTATGGTTTCTTGCTTTTGTCTAGTACATTCTTAGCAGCTGGAAATGTTGACATCTTTTGGATTCTAACCAGTAAAAAAGTTTTAAGTCCTAATGTGGTTTCCCTTTCCTAATTCTGAACAAGTAACTAGAGGCCATGCGGTTATCTTCCCAGCAAATGGCTGCGCTCTGCTGCCCCCACCTGGCTCAAAAGTGCCTGGGCAGAAGGAGAAAAGCTGCACGTGGGCACTTACCTCAACACAGGGATGCCCCTCTGAGCCCCTGAGGGCTCTCTCAGCAATAAGCATCTGAGTTTATGAGTTTAAGTGACATTGGGTTTTTGATTATTTGCAAAAGAGGCCAGAGGCAGCAGATGACAATGATCTTTCAGTTCCAGGGAATAATATCACCATCTCCCAGGGAATCTTGATTAAATTTGGGTGTTCCTAAGGCTCCTTAGTCACACATCATAGGGCTGATCTCTTGAATCCCTCTTAAAAACAGTTGATCTCACCATTACACTTGTTGCTGTTGTTCTTTAGTGTATTTAATAAAGATGCGCAGGGCGCCTGGGTGGCTCAGATGGTTAAGCGTCTGCCTTTGGCTCAGGTCGTGATCCCGGGGTTCTGGGACTGAGCCCCATGTCAGGCTCCCTGATCAGCGGGGAGTCTGCTTCTCCCTCTGCCTCTGCCCCTCCCCGTTTGTGCTTTCTCTTGCTCACTCTCTCTTGCTCGCTCTGTCTCTCTCAAATAAACAAGATCTGGGGATGCCTGGGTGGCTCAGTCATTCAGCGTCTGCCTTTGGCTCAGGTCATGATCCCAGGGTCCTGGGATAGAGCCCCGCATCGGGCTCCTTGCTCAGCAGGGAGCCTGCTTCTCCCTCTGCCTGCAGCTCCCCCTGCTTGTGCTCTCTCTCTCCCCCTCGCCGCCCCATCAAATAAATAACTAAAATCTTTTCAAAAATAAATAAATAAAATCTTAAAAAAAAAAAAAAAAGTACCTTATAGACATGACCACTCTTCCTACCCAAAAAACAAGATTTAAGGTTTGACAGATTTTTTTTGGTATGGCTATGACTGTAATAGGCAATCTAAGAAATGTAATTTGGATGCCAAAATATTAAAATTCCTGGGATATTTTCTTGGATCAATGGGATAACAGGAGAGAATATTTTTAAGTATATCTGTTCTGGAAAATCTAAAATGTATAGTAATACAGTCTATCAATCTGTCCCACACTGTGGTTGACAGTAGAAACTAGCATCTTGCAGATGAAATACAGTATAGCAACAGGTATTCAGCCATTCATTCAACAATTATTTATTGAGTTGCATAATGTGTGCTGGCCCGAGTTCTAGGACTTGGATATGTAACAGTGAATGAACAGTAAAATGCCCTGACCTCACAGCTGAGTAATGCAGCTAATTATAACCACTGACTCAGTACTTCCACTTCTAGAAATTATTTCTAAAGAAGTAATCATGAATATACAAATGATTTAGTTATAAAGATAATTATCATGTTGGATTTTTAATAGTAAGAAACTTAAAGTAGCCTAAATGTCCAGCAAATCATGATACAGCTCTATAAAACAATACCAGGGTCATTAAAACAATGTTAGAAAAGAACATTCAAGCAGGAGAATGATATTCACAAACTATTATCAACTTATAAAACAGGCTACAACTGCTCAGAGCCATGAGAAAACTTTACGGAGTTGTTCTAAAACCTAATTTTGATGGTAGTTGCACAAATATAGATTTTTATGAAAATGTATCCAACTGTACACTTAAGATGGATGAATTTAATTGTATGTAAACTAAACCTCAATGAAGCTGTGAAAAATAGGGGATAACGCAGTTCTGAAACTATTTTAATGTAAAGGTTACTTCTATAAGTCAATTAGAAAAAAAGACTGGAAAGATATAAACCAAAGTGTTTAATGGATTAAATTAAGGATGGAATGGGGTGGTTTCTTTTTTTCTTTTGTCTAAATGTTCTACAATAAACACATATTTATTTTGCAATAGGAAAAAAACCACAAAGTCTGTTTAAAGTTGTTAAACCAGCATATTCAATCCTCTAGGGCTGCTGCACGTTCCGTGAAACAAATTAGGACACCCTTCCCCCACCTTTCAGTTCCAGAGCACATGCTTACACAGACCAGAATTTCCACTGATCGGAACTGAAAGAAAGGCATGAAATAATTAACTACCCATGTCCCAGGTTGACACCCAAGGCAATAATCCAGACTGAGAGTTAACTTTTCCAGGCTTTGAAACCATGCCACCCAGCTAGAAAAGCTCTTGAGGCTCACCAGCAGAGGGACCCTTAGGTCCCCTGAAAAGTATTGCTGAAGCTACAGTCCAGTATATAGTCTGATACTACAAAGGACTCACAGCCATGTCTTCCCAATTTCTTCAGAAAAATGATTTTAGGTGCTCCCAAAGATGAAGAAAAATGAGTTGTACAGGTCAACCAAAGATAATTGTATAGAAATTAAGTTTAGGATACTTTTATCACATTTCATCAAAAGGGACCAAGTTGTTTGACATTTTCAATGACTAATTATTGGAACTAATATAATAAGTGACTTCAGGGGAAAACAGAGAGTGAGCTCTATGCAAGGAAATATGCGGTAGGACTGCTGACTAGGAGCGTTAATAGTTTTTGGTGTGGGGAGAAAAAAGCATGGGCAAGAGAGAACAAGATGCCAAGAATAAATATAAACCAACCACTACATCAAACAACTGGCCTTGAGAAAAGATAAAAATCCTTGTACTTGTTTTTTGGAAAGGAGGTTTTGTTCAAAATGTTTCAAAAGACCGTGAGAATGGCAAACGTGTTTTCGAATAAAGTACAAGTTCTTTATTATCTTATTTTTTCGATTCACTCACGTATTTTTCTTTGTGATTAGGGGAGGTTTAAGGCTTGTTCGTTCCCATTTCTTTTCTGAGAAAGATACAGAATCTCTCATAGCTCCCTTCAGTTTTGCCTATGGAAAGAATGTTCAATGAAGTAAATGATCACTAGTTACCAGTGGGCTATCTAGTACTGCACCACTTAAATAACTAATTAACCGTTACCTTAACTTCTTCCAAATGGTAGTCCTTACTCGCCTGGAACTCTTCTCAACTAAACCTTATTATCAACAGGATACTTTCTTCTAGATTATTTTGAGAATCAGTTTATAGTAATTGTCGAAACAGAAATGTAAGGCTGAAAATGTATTAATATAACAAACTATGTGTTGTATTACAGTCCTGATTGTGTGAACAAGCTCGGGTATGGATAATTCCAAGAAGTAGGTGGTTATAAATTATGTAATTATAGGGGCACCTGGGTGACTCAGTGCGTTAAGCATCTGCCTTCTGATCAGTAGGATCAAGCGGACTAGAGCTCCCTGCTCGGTGGGGAGCCTGCTTCTCCCTCTGCTGCTCCCCCTGCTTGTGTGCTCTCTCTCTCTCTCTCTCTCTCTCTCTGACAAAATCTTAAAAAAAAAAACAAAACATAGTTTAAAAATTATATAATTATATAAATTAACCTCATGTTCTCAGAATTCATTCCATATCCCCCTCCCCAGAAAAATAGTATTTTTTATTCTTTTTCATAGCTTTTCACACTACGAAAAGCCCACTACAGAAGCTGGAAAACTGCTTATTTCCTCAGCCCGCTTGCTCTCTTCCTCAAATTCTTCTGCCATCAGGTCTAAATGGAACTAGGCACCCTTAATTCTCAAAGTGATTCAAGATTTTTCCCGTCTTAAAACTTGAGGGAACCTGGGAAACCTGTTAGAGGACCCCAGCATAAAAAGGAGACTCAATCGTAATGTCTCCCACTCTTTTTTTTTTAAGATTAAAAAATATATATATTCATTTGAGACAGAGAGATACAGAAAGAGAGCATGAGCAGGGAGAGAGGCAGAAGCAGGCTCCCTGCTGAGCCAGGAGCCCGATCCCAGGACCCCGGCATCATGACATGAGCCGAAGGCAGATGCTTAACCATCTGAGCCCCAGGCGCCCCTTTTTTAAGATTTTATTTACTTATTTGTGAGAAAGAGAGCACGAGCACAAGCAGGAAGGAGAGCAGCAGGCGGAAGCAGGCTCCCCCCTGAGCAGGGAGCTCCATGTGGGACTCGATCCCAGGACCCTGGGATCATGACCTGAGCCGAAGGCAGACGCTTAACTCACTGAACCACCCAGGGATCCCTGTCTCCCACTTTCCTGCGGGCCTGCACCGCCACCGACCCCTTTTCCCGGGAGAGGAAAAGCCAGCTCAGAGAAATTCTGTGGGCGAGCGCTCCTTAACACCGAGAGCGCTGCCCCAACTTAGGGCCCGCCCCCATTGGGCGGAGCTCCAGCTCCAACCCAGACCGGGGCTTCAGAACTGCCCCGCCCCTTCTTGCTCTTTTCCCGCCCAGACCCCGCGACTTCCGGAAGGGGGAGTGGCCCCACAGGAAGTTTTCGCGTGTCGGAAAAGTAGGCATATCCGGCTCCGGTGTCATGGCCGGCCCCTATCCTGAGCGCGCTCCGGCTGTGGTCGGCGCGAAGAGGCAGCAGTTTGGAAGCAGGTTCCTGAACGATCCGGCGCGCGTCTTCCACCATAATGCCTGGTAACTGCCCTACCCTTCGTCCGGCCTCCGGCTTGTCCTCTGTCCCGCAGCCCCGTGCGCTCTGAGAAGCCCTGACCGCCGGCCACGAGTCGCGCTGCCCTGCTCGAGGCGCTCTCCTTCCACGGGAGAGGCGCTGCGTGGCCAGCGACGCAGCCTGCCCGCAGCTGGGACGTGAGGCCCCTAAGCTGCCCGTTTGATTTTCCCAGGGACAATGTGGAGTGGTCGGAAGAGCAGGCCGCGGCAGCGGAGAGGAAAGTCCGGGAGAACAGTACCCAGCGGGTGTGCCAGGAGAAGCAAGGTGCGCCTAGGTGGGCCCTCAGTGGTATCAGCAGCCAGCGTACTACTAGACGCGCTCTCCCGGAGAGGCCGCCAGACCGCCGAGAGCCTTTGTTACTGGACTGATCCCGAACTCCGGGGTAGCACGGGAGGGGAGGGGCTGAGTTAGGATGGAAAAGGGCTTCCCCCTAAAATCTTGTTAGGGCGAAGAGGGAGTTTGGGTTTTGGCTTTATTTGAGAGGGAGTAACAGTATCTTGATGTATTTCCTAGGGATTAATTTTTAGTACGTCGACTAGACCCATATTAATACGACTGGCTTGGTCGCGTGATCGACTTGGATGCTGTGCCTCGTCTATATGATTACCCTAGCTGAGGAAATGTTGTCATTGAAGCTAGATTCTAGCGATCAGATTCTAAGTATTGGGGGGGGGGGAGCTAATGACTGGTGAATTTTGTATCTTTTCCTTGTGTGATGGCTATGAGGATTTTAGGGCTTCTGCCAAGGAAAGCTGGGTGAAGAGGAGTGTAGGTAAGTCTGGCCAAAGAAAAAGAGACCTCTTCCGGAGAGGTGGATGATTTTACTGCAAAATATCTCTAGATACCAATACTAGGACTAGCTGAGCCTATGTGCTAGATGACAATTGAAAGTAGGACTAGAAATTGGGAGAGTAGTATCCCACAGTTCACTTTAACAGTAAGAAGATTCCAGTTACAAAGTATTCACCTTACATAGTTCGACAGAGACTAGATCAAAGCAAGTTAGAGTTGAAAGGGATTTTGAAAATCATATAGTCCAATATCCTCTTTTTACAGTTAAAGAAACTTGAACCACAGGACATTAAGTGCCTTACCCAGAGGTAAGCAGTTAGTTAGTAGTAGGAATGGTGGAACTAAAATCCAATTTCTTAGATTTTTTTTTTCTTTTCTACTACACTAGTTGAGGTCCTATATTGTCAAAGAGCAGAAAACTGTAGTCTAGTACTGCCCACTGCCTTGATCACCTTAAACTATAGTGGAAACAGTCTACCCTCCTTAAGTCTCTCCTGTCCTCTCTCATCAAAACTCTTCTCATCTGAAGACATTTTTCCCTCTTGTCAGCATTTCTCCTTTCCCGCCTTTGTCCCGTCTTTAGGATCTTTTAGTAGTATTGAATTCTTTCTTTGCTCCACATTCAATAAAGAACCACAGACAGAGGAGTATATTTAAAGAAGAGCTGTATGTGTCATTAACCATTGAGTTCACATAGGGAATGCCTGAAGAACCTGGGACATTTCACTTGTAAAAGAGAAGATTTAGAGGGGAAAATAACTGCCTTTAAATACAAAAGAATTGTTCTGTATGGCCCTAAGAAATAGTAGGACTTTTTGACCAGAAGACAGATTTTTTTGCTTAATGTTAGAATTTTTTTTTTCCTTAATGTTAGAATTTTCTAATTAGCTAAGAGCCACCTGAAGATGTAGGTGGAGAATTGGTAATAAGTTCCCTGGTAGAAGTTCCTCCCTAGAAGGACAAGACACAGGGAATTCAGGTAGGGTAGGTGGACTGCCAGATTTCCAGCTCTACTTGAGGATACTTTTAGTATAAAGTGACATTTGGTGAAGCAGGATGACATTTGACATTAGGGACACATAAAATATTGAGAGATTGAGAGTTTTCTTAATTCTTTAATATTTACAGTTGATTATGAAGTCAATGCCTACAAATACTGGAATGAGTTCTACAAAATCCACGAAAACAGGTTTTTCAAGGATAGACATTGGCTTTTCACTGAATTCCCAGAGTTGGCACCTAGCCCGGACCAAAATGACTTTAATGATTGGCTCTCAGAGAACAAGAGGAGTGAAGTACCTGAAGGTAGGAGCAAGGAGGACGGACCTGGTTTAAAGATAGAAGAACAGCACATGTGTTCTTCAGATAGCCTTGGACATAAAACACAGATGCCTCCTGTGGAAGGAGATGTAACTCAGAAACTCAGCCGCCTGGAAATCTGTGCTGATGAGTTCCCTGGATCCTCGGCCACCTACAGAATACTCGAGGTAACCCCCCTCAGTTGTCCTGAGAGTGGGGTTAACGGGGCTGTTTTATTATACACATGGGTGGCACCGAGAGGCTGACCGCAGAAGTGATTATGTGTGAAGAAGCTGACTAGACTTGACTCTTATGTTGGCCTAGAAAACCTCCATTTTTGAACTAATGATATGTCCTCAATTCAGACCAGATAATCCGGTGGTCGTGGCAAAGAAAGAGAGATCACCTGAGGTGCTACCTGGGGACATCCTATTGCCTCTGCACGTTGTAGGATCTGCTGTACCTGCCACCTGCAAGAGTCCCAAGTCACAGGACAAATTCTTTTACTTCTCTTGTAACATTAGATAGGGGTGGGGTGGGGGGACGTCAGTCGCGATGGTGCCTGCTTCTCAGGCTTGGGAGAGTTCTTGTCTTCCTAGTTTGGGTGGTGTTGCGGAGGCAAGACTACCCCCAGAAACGTGTCTAGGTGGGTACCGTAATGCAGATTGAGAAGCGGTGACTGTACACTCGGCTGGAAGCTGATTAGCCTTGGGGTTGAGTCCTCCAGCCTGACCTTGTTACTAGTCCCTTCCCCTCCCCAAGCAGAAGGGGACTTCTGCCTCTCTGTCTGCCTCATGGTAGTTATGAGAATGACATATATTGAGATAACGACGTAAAATGGCTAAAAACAGTGCCTGGCATGTAGCAAGCCCTTAGTAAATGGTCACTGTCTTTTTTGGGTTTGGGGATTTTTTTATTTTGTTTTTAATTTATTATTTTAGGGAGAGCGCGCATGTGAGAGCAGGGGGAGGAGCAGAGGGCTAGGGAAAGGGAGGTAATCTCTAGCAGACTCTGCACTGAGCACAGAGCCTGACGCAGAGCTCGATCCCTTGACCCCAAGATCATGGCCTGAGCCGAAACCAAGAGTCAGACGCCCAACCCCAAAGGGTCACTGTTATTAGCACACCCAGCACCGTGTTTAG